ATTCTCCTCTCTTTCGAGCCTTCTTCATCTTCTTGAAGTGTTTCCTTTCTATTCATAGCCCTATCATACACCAACCTATTCCATGTCGTGAATCCATTGCCTTTAGCCAACAGCCCGGTTTGGTGGACAAAGTTCCTCTTCGATGGATGATGTTGAAACTCAAAACCCAACCACCGGTCTGGATGAAGGGTTACATTTAATGTTAGGCCTTTTTCACACATATTTTATGTTTTTATATAGTTTTTTCTGATATGTTTTCTCTATCGTAAAGTCCTCAACAATCCTGTTCAAACTATATACATATTTCCAACATCAAGTTAGGACAATAGAGAAAGTTTTTCCTAATTTTATGTCATCTTTACTTCGTTTTCTGTATTCAGATTTCAGTGCATCATTTTTTGTAGGCTCTTGTGCATTATAAAGAAGATTCTCTCAAATAGTAAAAAGATAGTTCAGGTGATGAATTGGATATTGAAGTCTTTGAATGGCCCAAATCAATTTGCGAACAACCTTTGGATGAAAATTGTGCAGACAATACAATTTTCTTATACTGTGTAACAGTAGGAAAGTACAAAGAATTTACTTTATCCCTTGTGTTCACTGTGCAATGAGATGTTTTGAAAACCTTCTTTATGGATGATGAATAGTGAAGTTATTGATCTAGAGAACTCCAATATACATAATTAGTATGTACAAAAGTCAACAGAGATGAGGATGTAGAATATTGTAATAAAATGGCATAATTCTGTGAAGATACAGGATTCCTAACGGTGGACCCAGATGGTGGCTCTTGTAAAATTGTCATTTTGTGGCCAGGACGGTGATAGTTATCTTTACATTTACCTAAAAATTGGTGTCTACTCATATATATGGTTTCACATCTTTTATTTATTTAATACTAATACTAATAATAAAATAATTATATTATTATTATTATTGAAATATATTTTTCTTCTATAACAAATTATACTACACTTTATTTTCTTTCAATTTATTTAAAGTATTTTTCTTCCTTAACAATTTATATCTTATTATTTTTAAGATATTATGAATTATTTTAAATTTAAATTTCGAGGTATTGTTTAATTGATGTTATTAATCAAATTAATATATATAATAAAATTAATCAAATTAATATATTTTCACAAAACATGCTTAAAAATAATCAAATTAATATATATAATAAAATTAAAAAATATCGACGTATTGTTTAATTGATGTTATTAATGTAGTATTTTGCATAAACAATTAAAGGTTTTGGTATTTTTATTATATATTATTAAATGTTATATTATTAATATAATATAATTAAATTTAATAACATTATTACTGGATATTATACATAATAAATGTACTATATTTATTCAATTTTATAAATATATTGTCATTATAAATAGATTCATTTAAAGAAAATATATTGTAATTGAAATTTTAATATGATATATATATAAATTAACTTTTATACATAATTTAATCATATTAAATAATATATTATTAATAAATAATAATAAAAAATATGAAAATGTGAAGAATGAAAAAAAATGAAAGCATATAAAATATTTTTTATTTAATAATTTCTTTTGATATTTATGAGAGAAAATTAAATAAAGATAAAATTATAAATATATATATATATATATATATATATATATATATATATATATATATATATATATTTGGGTGTTCAAAATTAGATTATAAAAATGTGTGGATCAAAACCTCATTTGTCTCCCAAAATGATTCACCTGATTAGCATCAACATTATTTTCTTTTAACATTACTATAATACACAAAATCTATAATAATGAATTCAATTTTAGTATATTGTTCGTATAAATTTTATCTATTAATCATAAATTTGTTAGACAAATAGCATCTAGAGGGGTGAATAGATGCACAAATTAAAATAGATGTTAAATTAAAAATTTATTTGTAAGTCAAGTAATTTATTTGAATACTGATAAAACGGAAACGATAATATAATCAGGAAAAGAGAAAAAGATAAGGGAAAGAGAAGAGCACACAGTAATTTATACTGGTTCGGGTATAGTCAACCCTACATCCAATTTCTAGTCAACTCTTAACATAAGAGTGACTCCCAATTCACTATCTTTCAAATTCAGTTTACAAATTACAATCAACTCAGCAGAAGAACCAGTAAAAAGTAAACTAATTAAAAAGACAATCACCTCCTTAGAAACCCACTAAGGATGAATACCTCCCTAGAATCCCACTAGGGATGAACACCTTCTCTGAATAAATCAAAGGATGAAAAACATCTCCTCTGAACAAATCAAAGGATGAAAAACACCTCCTTAGAATCTCACTAAGGATGAATATCTCCCTAGAATCACACTAGGGATGAACACCTCCCTAGAATCACATTAGGGATGAACACCTCCCTAGACAAATCAAAGGGATGAAAACACCTCCTAAACCCACAAAGGATGAAGGAGTAAGATAAGAACAGTCACACTTGGGTAATTGAGACAACAAATTGTAGAAGCTTGTAGAATGTCAATCTCCAAGAATAAGTGTGATTAACCATGGAAACAAAGAAGGTAGTAGAGAAGAGAGTTTTCTCAGAAGGTGTAAAATATCTCTATTACCTTGCTCAAAATTCTTTTCTCAAAACTGATTGAATGTAAATTGTATTTTCGAATTCTGTAATTGTGTTTTTGATTTTTCATCAAAACTTAATTAAATAGAAAAATAGCATCAGAAAATAGACGTTGGATATTAATATTTTCATGAATAAAAATCAGGATATATTCAAAAACATTTATTCTTCAAAATAGATATATTTTTCAAATTTGAATTGTCATAATTGATTATGTTACCAGTATAATCAATTATGACAGAGAAGATAATTTTTTCATTTCTAATGCATCATAATTGATTATGACAGTGAAAAATATCATGTTATGAATTTTATCATACTAGTGCTTTTGAGACTTATGCATAATATTACTTCATCAACTTGTACCTCCATATCTAGTATTCTAAAACTCTATCTAGTATTTATGAATCATCTTGGGCTTGCTTGAATCATCATCTTTATCAAAAACATATTTTGGGCATATAGGGAAATGTTTCACATTGTCACCAACGTCTTAAATTCAGCTTGTCCTTAATTCATCTTGAATGGTGTTGACTTGAATGTAGTTGACTTAAATCATCTCTTGGAAATGTAGGGACATTTTCATTAATCTCCCCAATTGCTTTTAAAATTATGTTGAGTACAATTTTTGAAGTAATTATTACAAAAACTAATAATTTTATAACATGTGTCAATATATAATCGAATTGTACGTAGTGTAAAAAGTCTTATTACATCCTTGGTGTAAAAGACTAATTTTGATGGAGAATATTAAATAAAAATAACTTTGTTTTAATTTCAATAATGACTAAAAATAATTTACATTTTCAGAAATATACTACAAATTTAAGTCTTAAAAATGTTTACAATCTCATTATGAGAAAATTATTAGTTTCATAAACCAGATATTAACTTACATAGGTAGTGGTTTGTTTCTCAACATAAATAAGGTTAGACATTTCTTGTTGATATAATATTTTAAATGCATGAGAAAGATAAACATAATTAAAGATAAAATAATTATACATCATGTTAAATTCATTCTCAATTATTTAATGTTTAAAATAATAAACAATCTTCACAAATAATCTTGTGGCATGTGAAGTCATAAATGGTGGAAAATTAGCCAAGTTTTCCCTTTTCATTTCATATATAACAACTCACAGTTAATTAAAACCTTCAAAAACACAAGAAAAAAGAATGAAAGTACATCTGAGACCTATCATAAAATTGCATGACATTAATTTTCAAGTACTATGTATTTTTCTCTATCAACAAGGTGGTTACAATTTACATCTAAGTAATAAAATTCATGTATAATTTTCTTTCTTTCTACTAAATTAAATTCATGTATAATATGGAAAAATTGTGACAGAATTTTTTTATTTTTTTTTACAGATAAATGTTAACAATTGTAATTCTCGATCTAAAAATATTTATTAAGTCGAGCCAGTATTAAATTATTACCAATTTAAATATTTTTTAAATCCTTAATTCAATCTTAATTTATGTATTATACTCTTAACATTATCTTTATTTATATAACACATTTGATCCTTACATAAATAATGCTTTTTTATTAATTTGATCCTGATATAAATATTATTTTTTAATTTGTTCCCTTGTACATGGAGATTGTGTTAATATTAATAAGGATTAATTTAATAAGTTTCTACTTATCAAAGTAATGGTAACAAAGGTCAAATTAGTAATAATATTACATTTATTCAAAAAACTAAATTAAAAATTCATGTTGTATCACATGTCATGGTGTTTAATTTAAGATAAAAAGAAAAGTATAGAACAAGAAAAGAAATGTTAAAAAAAGAAAGAGATAATGGGAAAAGATGTAATTATAAGAATTCTAAAAAGAAAACATGATTGATAATTTATCAATGCAAAACCACTTTGACACCCCCACTACAGCTGCTTTGCTGGCCCATGTGGCTGTTTTTGAGATAAATCTCTGAATCTAGTTCATGGCGGCAGAAATCTGACCCACTACACCAATCATCACCTTTTATGATACCCCATCGTCAGATAAAGTCTCTCAGATAGGGTATGTTATGTGAAGCCACTGAAGCCCCATGCTTTTGGATAGGTCATGAATCATGATTAAAGAATTGAATTTTCTGGCGCAGGTGTGTGTGCCATGCTTTTAATGTCAACAGTATGTGACAATTTATTTTCAGTAACACGTTACAACCCCATAAGAAAATATAAAAATTGAATGACTATACCCAAGATTGTTTCTTCAAGAAATAATCACATTTTCAAGTTTGAAAAAATGATAAAAAATAAAGCACTATAAGTAAAGTAAACAAATTAAACGTACATGTAATTTTTCTCCATTCAGAAAATTCCTTATCTTGTCTCCTTCAACGGTGTCCACTGAACCAGTTTAACTATTTGTCCCAATCTCACACGCTTCATCTTCCACACTATCTCCATCTTCTTCAACATCATCATCATCATCACCACCACCACCATTTTCTTCTTCTTTTTCTTGATATTCTTCACTGGCACTCCTCCCTATATCCTCTTCAAACAATTGAGGTGGAGGCCTCCATTGTTGCTCCGGTTGCACCATCAATGGTTCCATCATCATCATCTCATTTGGCTTCATGTTCTGGAACACGCCAAAGGGATTCTGGGATTTGCTCTTTTCCTTGTATATAGCATCAAGCTCGTGAAAATAAGGACATGTTTTGCTATCTTCACGCCTTTCTTTGTTACCATCCCTCACTTTTTTGAAGTACTTGTTGATGTTCTCCCACTTTTCCTTACATCTCTTTGCACTGCGGTTGTACCCAAGCCTCTGCATTGCAATCGATATATCTTCCCACAATGGAGCTTTGGGTCCATTTTCTTGATACTTGGTGTCAAGACTTGTCCTCAACCTTATCAAAGCATGAACTTCGGCCTTTGGCCATCTAGAAGAAGAAGAACTCACTGGAGAGGTGGTAACAGTAGTAGCAGCAGTAGTAGTGCTAGTACTAGTAGCACTGTGACCATTAATATTCATTTTCCTGATCTCAGAATTATTGTTTAGCATTAGTGTTGGAGGCTGTGATTGTGGCTTTGTTTGCTTCTCATGTTGTGGTGGTTGTAAATGGTCATTTTGTGTGGGGTTTTGCTGGCCATACATCTTTTGCAATAATCCAATGACTGCAGCATCTTTGGCTACTGCTGTTGATCTTTCTTGAACAAGAATCTCATGTTCCCTATTAATCCTTGCCATTTCTTGCATCCTCCAATTGTCTTGTTCCGCCACTCTTTCTCTCTCCCTTCTGTCCATGGCTTCCAAGAACTTCTTTTGCATTTCCTCTTGCTTCAGAAGGACCTTTCTAGTGAGCCTCCTGAAGTAGTCCTTCCACTTTCTCTTCCTCCTATACCTCTCTTCCAAGTCTTCATCAGATGCTGTGGAAGAAGAGGTGGAGGTGGTGGTAGTGGTGGTGGTTGAGAAAGGGGTGTTCATGTTTGGCAAAGAGTATGTGACATTGTTGTTGTTGGTAGTGGTGGTTTGTGGTGGTGATGTGTCTCTAGGGTTGGTTGTGGATATTGTGGTGGTGGTGTTGGTTTGTGGTGAAGGAGAAATGAGTGTAGGGTTAGTGGAAGGAAAAGGTATAACTATGCTGTTGCCATGATCACTTTGTCTAGTTGGCAATGTCACTGTGTTTGTTGTTGCCAAAGTAGGTTGTGATTTTGGCACGTAAGAGATTGTGAATTGATTCTCAAGGGCTTGTAATTGATCAAAGAATTTATAGGTTTTTCCATGTGATTTGCCACTTTTGTTCTCTTTGGTTCTCTTGTTGTACTTGTACACATTCTCAAACTTTTCCTTGCACTTCTTTGCACTTCTATGATACCCAAGCCCTGCAAGTTTCCTGCGCGTTGATTTATGCATAAAATTAGAGAGGGATATATAGAAAGAGAGAGAAAGACCAAATTTCAACATTATCCAATAGAAAAAAGAGTTGAGCAAAAAAAGAAACCATATATAAATAAAAAAATGAACTAATGCTTTCAAATAAACAAGCCTGAAATCTCAAATAACAAATGTACTTGCCTCGATGTACTAAACTAACAACAACAGAAGACATGGTTCATTCATTACCTAAAAGAATCTAACATATAAGACAAAAAAAAAAAAAAACAAAGAATTGAAAGGATGAACCCAATAGAAAGAAGAGTGGCCTAAAGACTAGAGCTAATTAATCCATAGAAAACTCACAGAATGGTTCACACGCCTTATCTTTAAACAAACTGAGACTTAGATATATAAAAAAATAAGTTAATTCATACAAACTAAGTTCATATTGAATATTTATTATCTAATAAATATACTGGGATACGATTTGCTGATTTCAAAGTTGATGGTGCATGTAATTTAAAAAAAAAAAAAAAAAAGCCTCAACGGTTCGAATATATAAAGTTTTGGAATTAAGGGAAGTGATAGTTAATTGATTGAACTGGAAATTGAAAACCAATTCATAGATCTCCATGCATGATCTGGAGGAAGCCATGGAACTTTTTTAGTCTCTTCAAAACCAACAAAAGAAAAAACGAAGTGACTCCAAAAAGCAAAAAAAATGAAAAGAGATGAATAGGGAGATTAGATGCATTGAAATTTATTTATTATATCTTTTTTTCCTACCTTGAAACTTCTTCCCACAGTGGACCTTTAAGAGTTGAATCTCGAAACACTGCATCCATATCCGACCTTATCTTCAAGAGAGCCAAGGTTTCATGGCGAGGCCACCGGTTTCCTCCAAAGCTCATCTTACTACCTTCATTTCCTTCACCTGAATTCGCATCCACATCCATCCCAATCATCTCATCACCACCACCGTCATGTGCCGCTCCTTCCGCCGCCACCTCCGCCGCCGCCACCGCCATCTCGGGCTCGTTGTGGGAGGAGATCTCCAACACACTTGAGTCTCCTAGCTGCATATAGCTATGGAGATATTGTGTCCCTATGCAATTACAGCTAGAGAAAAAAAAATGAACAATAGAAGACAAGGTGAATACTATATAAGGGTTTTTATGGGCATGCTATGCTTGAGGTTATTATATATTTATTTATTTTGTGGAGTTTAATTTCTTTCTATAATCTATTTCATCATAAAGAAAAAGGGAGAAAAAAAATGAAACTTTAATCAAGGTGAAGCAACTTCCATTCCATGTGCTGAACATGGTTGGTGTTTATTTTTTAATTTTATTACGAGTTCAATCAATATACACCTATGAAATGTTTTTAAACAGATAATTGATGAATAGTATCACTTTATTTCATTCTCTTGATTGTTAATATAATGTTATAGATAAAGTAAATTTTTATTATATGCAATATAATAAATAAATAAAACTCTTTCATTTTAGGGCATGAAATCTTGTTTTAGTTTTTGGGTTGAAAATTAAAACAACAGAAAAGTTGCTTTGGTTAGTACCGCGAAAATAAAACAAAAAGCAATAAAATATAAAATGTTATTAAAGGAAAGAAAAATGATAACCATGAAAACATCAGAAATGGAAATATATATTTTTAGAAGAAAAAAGAAAATTAACAGTTGTAGTGGGAACAGACCACAGAAGCGACGATGGAGATAACAAGTTGTGGCCCATTATTGTAGGTCAGCTTTTGCGTTTGGGAGTTTTGGATTTCAGTGGCCGTTTTCACAAATGGCGTTTGGAATTACTAATTTACCCCTAGGGTTGATGTCAATTATCATTGACCTCTAATAAATTCGCGAAACTCATTCTATCTAGGGAATTTATATCGTTAGAGACTTTTCCCATATTTGTGACCATGGAAAAAAAGTAGAGTAATCCTAAATTATAATATAATAAACGTTTAAAGTCAGTATTGTTTAGTTATTTTATAATCTAGTTAAATTTTGCTTTCACCTTCCAAATTTATATTAACATTTAATTCTTCAAAATTATTAAATCACATTTTTGAAGATTATATATTTGCATGTTAATTGAAAAGTTGGAAGACTAATTTAATGTATAAAGTTTTAAAACTAAAGTTATATTAATTACCTAAAAAATGATGATATTATAAGTAGGAAATGGTGTAAATGAAAACTTAGGATGACATACTTTTCATAATAAAGTGGAGGAAATTTAGGTGATCATGCGACCACGTGGGCAGGTGTAGATCACCATGGTCTGACAAAGTATAGTTTGAAGCTTGGTTAAGAAAAACAAGAATTTTAACCTAATTTGTTGTTGATAATGATGAATTAATGTTTTTTTTTTTGGGTTAGATATAGGTCACTGTGCAAAGGCAAAGTCTATTTATGAAATGGAAGTAACTGGTGACAAATTCAGTTATATTTGACCTAACATAATAAATAGAATGAATATTTTGATGGGTAACAACCTTCTAAGGCTTTATGATGAGCAATTATTTGAATTTGATTAGGGACCATTTGCAAAAGTGTGGGTAATGAAGTGACTTGGCGATGAATGATATGGTAGTACAAGTTACAGAGTTATTGAGTCGGTTTTTCTGTTTTATTTCCGAATGTAAATACTGAATAATTTTCCAATTACATGTGGAAGAGGAGAAAGTGATAAAGTTGCCTTTCGTTTTTCTTATTTTGTACTCTGAATTCAAGAATTCCATTAATTTTTAGTGACCCCACAACGTGCTTCAACGTGATGGACTTTATCATCCAATAATATTGAATATGCCCTTTACATTAGAAAAATAATACAACATCACCTTCAGATTTTTTTTTTCAGTTTTTATTTTTTAAACATGTTTAAAAGTAAAAGAAGTATTAACCACCCTCATTAATCATATGCTCTAAACATGAAACACTATATTAAAAGAAAAATAAAATACAAAAAAAATGGAGTTAAACCTAATCATTAAAGAATAAAAAAATTATACACATTTATATTTTGAAATATTAAATTTATTCCCAAAAAAAATTAAACATTCTGGAAGGTATATACTTGTTACATTCAAATGAAATTTTATTTTGGATGTGTATGTTAGCAAGCCATAATTCGAGCATATTTATTCTCATCCTTACAAATATGATATATATTTGAATTTTGAATTACGATTTTTTTTAGTCACCGGTATTAATATTAATATATATATATATATATATATATAAAATATGTGTATATATTTTATAAACACATATTTATATATATTTATATTTAATAAATATATATATATATTTATATTTATAGATATTTAAATTCATGATATAAAATATTAAAATATTATAAATTAAAGGTACATAATTAAAACAATACATGCTAATAAGCTTAACTAAATTAAAACTAATACATGATAAAAAGTTATTGTTAACGTATGTATTACCTTTTAAATCATTAATGATTTTTTTAGGTGTTGTCTTTTGTATAGTCTTAGTTTAAACAATCAATTCAATATTTTCTTATGATTGTTCATGTTGCACGTGTGGATATAGAACCTGTATTTTTTTCGAGCGATTAATAATTTAGGTCACATCAATATTAGTTTTAATATGTAATGAGTAGTGAATGATCTTTTAATTTTAGACTTGAATTGGACGAGGATAGTTGATTTTAGTTATTTGTTTGCGATTTCCATAGACAGGGTGTAAGAATTTTAAGGAGGCAAACATATAAAAATAAATATATTATATAAAATCATTAAAACTTTTGAACAAATTAGGTTAAAATTAACGAGGATAATTGTCTAAACTCAAAAGTGAATATTCATCCATAAAATTTTGATAAGGCCTAAACTATATATATGTTATACGAATTTCATCTTGTTGATTAATAGAATAATTTCAAATATGTGGATATTTTCCAGGATCACGTATCAAAGTATCAATATTAGGTTTTCCATGTTTAATCCTTGTACTCTCGAAAGAAGGTTGTTGAATAGATTGACCAAATGTAGGTTGCTCTACAATATTTTCAACATTACTTGTTGAATTTAAATTTAGTAAACTAAAATTTATTTCATAATTTATCCTCTCTTCTCTTGAAAAATGACTCTATAGTTTTTTTCTTAGTTATCTCTAAAGTTTAACCTGATTTTTTTTCCACATTTTAACATCAAAATAAAGCATCATAAAACATTAAAATAACTAACTAATTTATAATAAATAATATAATTTACTTATTGTTCTTTATTTTAAGAAAATTAGTGCAGAATATCTTATTTATTTTTTAATTCATTGTCTTTCTCCAAGTTGAAAATGTCTCCGATGTGAAAAGATGAGAAAAAAGTGAAAAACAAAAAGTTAACTGTGAGAGAGAAAATTTTGAAAAACCAAAGAGAAACTTACAATTTTTATGTTGTACGGGGAAATTAGGAAAGAGAAAAATATAAAAGTGAATTAATGATAAGGAAAAAGGTAGAAATATGAAAGTATAAAATACAGCCTCTAATCTAAATAAATTGAAGTAGAAAAGTGAAAAGGTAAGAGCAAAAGAGATAAAGTTTAAAGATAGAAAAAGAAAAAGATAAAAGATAAAATTAAAAATTTTGTAAAAAAATAAATATAATGTTTATTATAAATGAAAAGGTGGAAGATGAAAAGATAAAAAAATTATTAATATTTAAAAAATATTTTTATTTAATCATTCTATATATATATATATATATATATATATATATAAATAAATAATTTTGGGAGGGTGGCTAGCAGTGGCGAATCTTGACCATTGATCTTGGGGGCCAAATAATATATTATTAATAAATAATAAATAAATATAAAATAATATATTATTAATAAATAATAAATAAATATAAAATAATATATTATTAATAAATAATAAATAAATATAAAAGGAAGAAAGAAGATGAAAGGGTAAAATGATAAAATTGTAGATATATATTTAAATATATTAAATGATCATTAAGTTTGAGGGGGACAAAGTCATAAATTACATGGGAGTTACAAAATTAAGGAGGAGTTGAGAGGATAGAATTGTAAATATACAAGTAAATATATTAAATATTTATTAAGTTTGGAGGCTAAAATCATAAATTACATGGGAGTTATAAAACTTTGGGGGCCACGACCCCTTCAGACTCCCAAGAAGATCCACCACTGGTGGCTAGCCCAAGCCCTTTTTTCCGCCTTAGTACATAGTTTTAACATCTAAAAAACTATTATCTAAACTTTTACAGTATATTAAATTATAATATTTTTAAATAATTAAAATAATTTTAAAAAAACTAATTTATTAATATATATTATTTAAATTATCATAATAAAAAATAAATATCTATTAAACATATATTATTATTTATTAATATTATTGTTATTATTAATTAAAAATAATAATGATAATAATAATTATTATTATTTATTATTTATTTATTATTGATAGTATATATATATTTATTAATTAAAAAATATTAAATTATTATTAAAACATCTATTAAACATAAATTATTAATAATTAATAGCGATTATTATTATTATTTATATATATATATATATTAAAAAAAGAGAAAAAAAAACAATAGTAAAAAAAAATTTGGATAAGATGCTTATCTCTTCATTTGGCAACTATAAATATGAGTGGAGTGAAGAATTATGGGAAGAGTAAAGAAGCAGAGAAAGAGAAGGAAGATATAAAAGTTATCTCCCAAAAAACTTTAGGACATCATCTACAATGAATGGTGAAGACTATTATTATTTATTTTATTTTTAATTATGTTTCTGGAGTAACGTGTCTCTAATCTTATTTTATTTATCTTCGGTTATGTAGTAATCATATTTTATATTTATTTATTTCTAATTATGTACTTGATCTTGTTTTATATTTATTTATCTCCAGTTATAAATTGATTCTATCTTATATTTATTTATCTTTAATTATGCATTAATCCTTTTTTATATTTATTTATCCCCAATTATACATTGATCCTATTTTATATTTATTTATTTATATTGGTTCTATTTATTTATCTTTAGTTA